ACGAAATTGTGTAGGAAAGAACATATGGTAGCTGTATATTGTGGAATTGAGGGGTTTAGTAGAGGCCTAGCTGGTCTATGTTTAAGCATAGAGGTATAATGAAAAGACCTTAGAAAATAATTAGGAGACTGTGACAATAGAAGTCATAAATTTGCTGTTAAAATCAGCATATTCAGTGAAAGAAATGCATAAGAAAGCAAATGCATTTCTGTGCACATTTTTGTGTATAAATATATAAAAAATATATAATAATATCTTTCCTTGAATGTGTGCTTAATGCTGCTATGCCCCCATTCTCAGTCATCTGGACTGATAGCTTTAATAAGGGGATAACCTTGGTTTAAACTCAGCTATATTTGCATGCTTACGTCAACTGTATTGCAACAGAAGCTGGCACAGCTGCCAGAAGCAACAACACAGTTGATTAAACTATACTTAAGGAGAACATGTTTTGCTAATACAAACTTAAAAATGGAGATATTAGGAAACCCTTTTCAGTTCTCCTAGATAAATCCATATTTTTTCTTCATTCTACGTTTTGGGACCTATGCTAAACCAAGAAAACAAAGTTATTGATAAAACCAATCCAATATAACCAAAAAAACCCAAAAAAAAACCAAACAAAAAAAACAGAATAAAACCCCACAACCAACATTAGGAGTTCAGCTCTTAAGCTTTTATAAGTCTCTTACTAAGCATAAGATAACAGCATAGCAATCAACATTCATAAAATATTAGTTCTGCATTGTAATTTGACTCCATCTGCTGAGTGTTTTTGAAGGGAATTTCAAATAGTTTATAAAATAATTTTCAAAAATAATAAACTATAAATAAAATAATTTTCAGATAGTCCTTTAAAAAGTAAAATCTTCACCATAAAATATTCTGCACCCCATTTATCATTTGAGCAATACAATGTCAACTTTGGAGGCACTGATATCCTTCCACTACAGTGTGGAAGCTGTGCTCACTTTGAAACTATCAGAAGCACTGGAAATCACAGATGGGTACAGCAGCCTGCATGTTACAGCAGTTGGTAACCCAAAGGGCTTTTCAAGAGAAGATCTTTCTTGTTCATGGCTGTGATTGACTTTCCTTTCCATCATACAAGAACAGATTACAGTGCATGTATAGAAAGAGCAAGGCTGGCTGTCCATTCAAACTTTGGCATGAAATAGATTTGCGTCCTAGCTTGTATTGGGTAAATGTCCTTCTAATTTTTTTCTTTGAGAGCATATGAAGAAATTTGGCTCCTGGTAAGGAAGGCACCACTAAGTAAAAATAGCAGTCCTAAAATTATCTCTTCACAAAAAAATAAAAAAATAAAAAAATAAAAAAAAAAATATATATATATATATATATTCAGTACCACTATCTTTTTTAATGAGTGATATTAGTTAAAAGGAAAAACAACCAATATTGAAGTACAGAAACTGTAGAGAAAATTCAATCTGCCCTCAATGTAAATTTGCAGGGAAAAAGTAAACTTCCATCTACAATATGCATGGAAAGTTCTAAGAAAATCTACTGTGAAAAGCACGGCTATGACAGGTATATCTAAGTAGTACCTCTGTGCAGAAAACCAGAACTTGAGAATGACATTAATTTTCTTTTTTTTTGCACTATTTCTAGTAAAAAATTACCAAGGTCCAGTTGATGTACGATTTTATTATAACACTGCAACTGCAACCTGATCCCAGAGGTGAATGCTATGGCATTATTTCAGCCATCCCAGATTCAGCAATAGCGATTATTAGGAAGTCTAGAGACATTACAAAACAGAACCTTGTAGCCATGACAATTTCTAGAAAGTACAATTACTAATAATATTACCACTAACCTTGGAATAAAGTACCAAACTGGGTAAAACTTTGCATGCAGATGTCATGAAACAATAAAAGCCTGCAAGCCACCAGTCACAAAAGCTTGTCAGGCTTACATAAGAGACTAGTAAGGGTTAAAAATGTAGTGTTTCAGTGAATTTCTGACAATTTCCCAAGAAATATGTGCATGAGTGCAGTTTATAATCAATACTGTTTTAAAACTATAGTAAGTGAAATTTTGAACATTTGGTATTTAAAAAGTGGCAACTAGAAAATGAAATTGCTAAAAAAAAAAAAAAAAAAAAAGGATGAGAGGAAGAGTTTATCTGGGTTTTTTCCTAAAGCCAAGACAACCATATGCTGCACCAGTTGAAAAATCAAAGTGATTTTCAATGTCAGCCTCAGGCACTGGTAGGTCTAAGCATCTCTAAAGGTGCAACTAAATGGTGCTGATGATAGAAAGGAGTAGTTTTAGATCCTCTGAGAAATCAGTGCTTGCATAAGGAAGGAAAAACAGATAAAGAGAACAAGAGAATAGCAAGACCTACATCAGAGAAGGCACAATCTCCTGGTACACTACAGAGGACAAGGCATTTCTTCATATTTTTGCTGCAAGACAACCCAAAAGCAAAAATTCTTATCTGCTTTAGTAGCCACTAATTGAAGTTTAGGGTTCCATTTAGGGAACTCTTTTACTTGCATTGCCTTTTCTGATCAATTTTCATCCATCTTTTATTTTTTTTATAGAGGAATAGATATAGTGCATGTGACTGAATAAAGAGAAGACCATGAAGATTTATTTTTGCCATGGCATCCACTTCTGTTTTTCTCAAGGAGAACAAATTGAAAAGCATTTATTTTAAAATGCTGTATGCATGTCACAGTATGCTCAGTTGTATCTCATTTAGTCATGTAACTCCTCATCCATGTAAAAGCCCCCAATGTATGGCACACCTTGAAGAGTATTTCATATGAAGCAAAAGCTCTGTTAGCATTTAATTTGCTTCACACACATATTTAAGAAAATAACAAAGAAATATGGGGGAGAACAACAGAATAAGGGAATGAATGTAGGCACTGTTTTCTGCTGTGCTAACACCACCACTGATTTTCATTTTTTCTTTCTGCTAAGGTTTGAAACGCAATTTCACTACCAACCATAAGTTCACTGGTGAGAAATGTTATTCTGAATTTGCCAGACACAGGTGTCAAAATGTAACAAATGGTTTTCATCTATACATAATACAACTGTAAGTAATATCACTATGCATCTCATTAGGGGAAAAAATAGTGCATCAATATTGTGAATCTACAGACAGAGTCCTGTAGGTGACTGCAGCAAATGCTTCCCAACACTTCTATAAGATTAACATGATTATCTCTATATGTCTACTTACATCACATTTTATCACATTCTACTGCTCCTTACCAAAAAATTTAAAACAATGCCTCATTAATTCTATGTAGCAACTTGTGTAGATAGCTAGTCGCCTCCCAGATGACTTTAAAATGCCGTGTGTGACGTGGAAGCACAGAAGTTCTGCTGTGTTTCAGGGGAGAGCCTATGGTGCAAGAGGGAGGCTTCTCTCTTCTCCTGATGGACTGGGGGGTGCTCATGTGAAAGGAGGGTATTGGAGTGAGAATTAATGTGTTAGAGGGGATTTGAATGTTAGAGGACTGAGGGGAGGAGGAGTGTTTCGAAAGTGTTCTATTGTGGATTGTTGTGTGTGTGTAGGTTTCCCCTTCCTTTTTGTGTCTGTGGATATTAATGAAGTGTTGGGTGGTTTTTTTTTCCCTCCATTCCCAAGTTAGAGCCTGCTTTGTTCTGTTCCTGGGTCACATCTCACAGTGACCATTTTGAGGAATACACATTTCATGGGGGGCACTGGCACTGTGCCAGAGTCAATCCATGACAGGTGCATAGCTGAAGGGGAACAGCATCCCTCTTCCACTTCAAAGTCAGAAAACTTCCAAAACTGTTAACAATTACCAGGAGTATGAAATGGCTGGTACTGCCTTGTGAAGTACTGGGAAAATGCATTTTAGGAGAGAGAAGGGTAATAAGCTGGAACTAGCACTGGGAAGTTAAATGACTCCCAGCCCAGAACAAATTAATTTCTGGTGCCTGCAGGGAAACCCAAAATGCCATCTGGCAGCAGGATACAAGCACTGTACTTATGTTGCAAACACACTGCTCAGGACCACTGGAGAATCAGCCATCAGGAAGAGACCAAAAGGGCCCGTTCAGCCTATTCCTCTGCTCCAAAGCAGGATCGATGCTCTTTATGTCATTCCTGGCAAATTTCTATCGTGTTGTGAAAATTCTTTAAGAAAAACCTGTTCCAGTACTTCAGTATCATTACTGCAGTCCACCTTTCTCTGAGAAGAATTACTCTGTCCTCTGTACACTAGGTTTTTGAAAACTTACCATGTTCCCAGGCAATCTTTTTCTTTTTCTCTTTTTCTCTTTTTTCTTTTTTTTTCTTTTTTCTTTTTTCTTTTTTTTTTTCTTTTTTTTAACTTAGGAGTCTAATGCACTAAAGATTTTTTTGGATGTTAGGCTTTTGATAACTTGACCCACTCTTGCAGACTCTCATTCTTGCATTGTGACAAGGCAAGGGCAATAGCTACTTTGAGCATGCAGAGTATAAGAGTATAACAGGAAAAAGAATTGTCCCCTAATGCATAATTAGGAGATCATGCAAGGGCTGTAGGAATTTAAGAGCCACAAAGATAAAACCATTTAAAAGACAAGATGCTTTACTGTAAACAGACAATCTAATTTTTTCCAGCAAACAACGAATGTAAACTAAGAAGAGAGAGGAATGCACCACATCATGTGACATAACAGGTTTGGAGTTAGAGAACCCCTGGACCTTAGCATACCTTCCTTGAATATATATATATATATTTTTTTTTTTTTTTTTTTTTTTTTTAACTCATCCTACCCTCAGAAACTTAACATCACAGGTACTCATATTGCTGGATAACAAGTTTCTAAATAAGCAAACAAAGCTAAAACAAAACTGTAATCTAGGCACAGAATATTAGAAACATTTCTAATAATAAGTTTTAGAAGTTTTTTTTTCATTTCATCCCTCTCTCAGCCAGAAAAGTACACTGAGGCAATTAAGTCATATGCAATTAGTTATCAAGCATTTACAGCTCCTTACTCACCCACTGGAGACATTTCTGGGACACTGGCAACATAAGGCCCATCCAGAAACTTTGGCTCATTATCATTAATGTCCTGCACTTTGATGATGAACTCTGATTCAGGCTCTAGTGGTTTCTTGGTGTCAACATCCACAGCCTGAGCCCGGAGTGTGTAGAAAGGTTTTTCTTCTCGATCTAGGCTCCTTATGGCATGAATGTCTCCTGTGGTCTCATCAATGGTAAAAACCGTGCCAGCACCATCTCCTGAAAGGGTATATTTAACAGTGCCGACTCCCTTGTCCAAGTCAGAATGAAGCTGGAGAAGAAAAAGAAGAACAAAAGAGAGGACAGAAACATTAATGGCTTTTGCTAGGCCAGATAGCTCTTTTTTTTTTTTTTTTTTTTTTTTTAAATGTAATAAAAGACTTTGGAGGAACCAATTTCTTAAGTCCTTAACTGTCTTTAAGTGCATGTAAAAAATGTGGGTAGTATGTTATGCAAGACTTTTACTCCTATCCAGTACAGCACAGACTTGCTGCAGTTGAGTAACTAAAACTCAGTGAAGCAGGGCTTCACAGTTTTTATAAACTGAAATGTAAGACCAAGCATGTAAAATCACCCATAGCCACATCAAACAAATGTGAGATGACATGAGAGAGTGTCAAAAGCTTCCATAGGCATTTTGCTTTCAGAGAACAAAAAGGGAAATATCTAATTGTTTAAAGAGCAGGAGCTTGATGGCATCGGAAAATCAAAATCAAACTTGGTTAAAAAAAAGAAAACATACACCTCATGATTACAGTAAATGCTAAACAGAACTAAAAATACTGCCTTTTACACAAATACTTGATCCCTTACTTTTGAATTTTTGGAGATAATCACACTGCAGACTGTGAATCTAGGAGTTTCTTGCTCATTTTGAAAGAGTACAGAACTCAATATTTTCTGCCTTGAATACCAATATACACATTTTTTTCTGGATATTACGCTGATGAATTTCTAGTTATAATTTAAAAATAAAATAAAAAAAACTTGAATTCAACTTCTTGGATGTTTTTGTCCCTTTAATCAGTGTCTCTCCTACAATAAAGCAGCCTTAAACACTATTTTAAATACAGGGTGCTTTTAAATCCAACTACAGTATGATGAACTTCTTTCTCAGATGCCTTTACCTGCTCCATACTCATCCTTTAACTACATCTAAAAGCTTTGAAAATATACACAAGGTTACATCACTGATGCTGAAATAGTTTTTAAAATATTCATCCACTTTTCCCATCTAATGAGGACTGAAAACATCTTCTATAATGGCCACCAGTCAGAATGGAGTTTTCAAGAGTGAATGCCCCAAAGATGAATTGTAAAGCAATTATGGATATAGACTTTATTTACATGATGTACTGCCCAAGGTGAAACACAATAGAGGAAACATGGGATATAAAAGGAGATTATGTAGAAAATGAATTACTGAGAAACTAAATGGTTTTGGTAATGGGGCAAGAAGCTAAGCTACAGAAAAGGAGTTAAAGGCAATTACTAACATTTATAGCTATTGACTTGAAATTGAAAATAGGTCCTTGTGACTGTGGAAGAGGTCATGGTTTGTGGCACAGAGGGAACACAAGCTTAGTCTCTTGTTGTCCACTTTTTCATCTCATCATTCTTGCTCAGCGAATATATTAATTTCTGATCTTTCATCTAGCTCCCCCCCACATGTGATTTTAAATTATCTCTCCAGTTCAAAATAAAGTATTTTGCTTCCAAGGTGTTAAATATTTCCTTGCTTGCAAATTTAAAAGATTATGTAGTCTGAGATAATTAATGTCAATTTCTTGCTTCTTATTTTAATTTAAATGGCTCAAAACTTCCTGCTGTTTCATTACACTCTGCTTAGTGTAAAAACTTGGTATTTTCCTTCCATTACCATTTAGAGGCTTATAGACACACACCAAGAGAAAAAAAGAATCAAAATGATGATGAGAAATCTTGAAGAACAAAAATGTTAGAACTTTTTAGAGGGAACCAAGCAACTGTTTTAGTAGCATCCCTATATTAAATAAAATTTGTTTGGTTTTCATTGTGAAGACTACCTTGATACATACTCCTGGAAGTAATAATTTCACAGAGCAAAATAATGCAATTATGAAACAGGAATTTGTAAACAGGGAAGCATGACAAGATTACTCCCATCTCCTGTCATTGGATTTGGCACTAAAGCTGAGATGGTTGAGTGTGTTTCTGATTGCCAGCTGTAGGTTTTGTGTTCAACTAGTAACAAATCAAGCTGTATTGCATGTCTTATCTGAACCCCTGGATTATACTAGACAGAATCAATTATAGTTCCTTTTCATAGCTGGAGAAAAAGCAGGAAAAGCAACGGCTCCCAAGACAAAGGAAGACTGAAATACAAAGACTAGACTAACGCAGGTTTTTTTCAAAAATGTATTGGAGAAAAAAAGGTTTACAACTGGTAGGAATAACAATTCTACAGTTGCAGATTTATTCACAAGGCTTCACAACTATCACTCATCTAGTACAACCTAGGAACCATTCCACCTTTTTAAGCAGAGCTGCAATGCACTGCATTAGCTGGGATGTGTCACATGGTATTTATTCACCAAATCTGCTGATTTTGACATAAGCTTCCTAGATGACATTGCAGGACAATGTGCAAATGTATGCTTATTTGTAACCCACACCAAGCTATGCATTTTGTGGGTCAATTCAACATTATGCAGTGTCAAATTACTGGAGGGGAACAGCTGATTGATTGCTTTAAAATTAACTAAATTTTCCATTAATAAAGGGGATGCAAAACTTAGATTCAGATGCAAGGATGAAGAGCAAGAAGTTAGCATTAGCTGTATTTACACAACACTAGGAAATAATCCTGACTTTCAATGCCTGAAATTTTCTAGAAAGCAGTTTAGGCTAAAGAATAAGTGCTTGCTACTGTGTCTTGATTTATGTGCTACAAGCTCTATTGCACTGGAAGAAAAGACATTTATTTTTTTCTGCTGAAGAAAAAAAGATTTGTGAGAGACTAGTTTTTCTGACACTGTGTCCACAGGAACTTTGGGTTTGTATCCCATTTCACCTTCTTGATCACACTTATTTTCTAATTCTTGGTCTTCCACAATTTCAGTAAAATTAAAGAACAATAGAACAAGTGCTCAGATATTACCTACTTCCCTCCCCACAAGGTATTTATAATCCAGAACCACCTGAATTTACTGTAATAAGATTGTACAAATTATTGTATTCACACAGGTTGTCTTAATGTTATGTTTTCCCTATAATTCTTGAATACTAAAAACGCATCAGAGGATTGGAAATGTGAGGGATTAATTTCTATCTTTGTTGAAATCTACACTTGTATTCTCTACTATATAAGTAGCACAATTTAGTGTCAGATCTTTGGGCAAATCTACTCCAAGAGTAAAACTAATGATTTCTTGCAGCAAAACTCTGTTAGTGCAGAAAGTCATGAATATTTTTCCATGATGGCAGAAAAAGACATATAATTCCATAATTCTTGCTAATGTGTGGAAATAATAACACATATGGCAAAAGAAATGAATGATTTAAAAAAATAAAGGATGAATAATAAGATGGAGACTATTGTAAGATATATTGCATAAATCTATGCAGCAATTATGGCTGTGTTTTTGAATCATATCCAGTACCAGATGCCAGACTGAGTCAGTCTACAAATCCATGTGATCTAACAATCTGCTTCAGTCTGTAACAAGCTGAATGCTAGTTTGCTTCAAAGAGGATGAAAAGTTGGTAACAACTCTCTAGTAGCACATCTGGAAGAAATTACTTATTCAGTTCTTCCGACAGTTTCTAGGAAGAAGTATGATTGTATTTTAGCAATAAATTAAGATGTTACTGCTTCAATAACTCAGTGTTATCAGCTCTGTGTCACTTCAAGCACTCATACACCTGCAGAAATAATTTCAAACCACATGAAAGACCAGTAAAAGCGCTAGGTAATGTACTTCAAGAATGGGTCCATACTCCTAGGTAAATTGAGCATTGCAGGAGTATAGGTCAGATGTATCTGTTCCTCAGTATCCTGTGGTGCTGATTTTCTCTTCATTATCCTATTAATCTGATCCTCAACTGTGCACCTTCTCTTTTCTTAAATACTTCTATGACTTCTATTAATACAGCCATTTTGAAAGTCAAACATGTAAATTCACATACATAGGTAAAGAAATTGGAAGCAAAAGGAGCTTAAAAAATTGCAAGATAGTCTACTTTAAAATGAATCAATCACTATACCCGAACAAATCATGCCAGAACAAGGGCTATGACATCTGCCAGGATTGCTGTGATCTTAATTTCACAGCAATACAGACACTGAAAGTTGTTGTATGAGTTGACAGCTTCCCTTTCCACATTTCCCAGATGCCAAGGAATGTTTAAAACCCCGAAACTAATATATTTACCCTATGATACACTCTGAGATTCTAGGTCTTATTCCATTGCCAATTTCACAGGATGAAAAAACCCAGAAATTACTGTCCCATTTATTTGTTACTATTAAATCAGTTTAAATGCTACATTGCAGTACATATCTGGACTTAAAAAATGGCAAATGTTTCAGGCTATTAAACATTCCTTGCCTGTACAACAGTATTAATTATATATCCCACATCTGTATATTTACGTCATTTTTCTTTATGGGATATATTTTAGGACTTTACTCCATTATTTTCTCTTCCTGCACCAACTCCCAGGTATCACTATTCATTCTGTAGCCACCAGCCCCTGTACTTTCTTGGGGAAGATGTGCAATAAAAACTATTTGAGAAATCAGAACACCAATTCAACTCCAATCCTACCTAAGAATGAAAATACAGAATGATAGACGGAACTGAGTAAAGGAAAAAAGGGCCATTTCTGTGCAGTTAACACAGACCCAAGCAGACCTATTTTGGCAGATCTCTACTGCAAAAGTGTGTGTTGGAAAAAAGATTACCCATTACAAGAGAAGAGGGTGTAAATGAGTCTTGATACTTTCTATTTGGAAGGCTGCCCTTTTAAAATATAATTATTCTACACATATTTTCTCTTGGCAAGAACTCTATGATCTATACAGATTGCATAGCTTCTTTTAAAAACTGATAATTAGAATCTAATGTACTGCTTTCACACAAATGTATTTATTTCTTCCCTCTAAAATACATAAACCTTGAAAATTTTTCTAAGATTCAAAGGGTATGGGGGTGCCAGAGACTTTAATTCAGGACATGAAAAAAAAAACCAAACCAAACCAAACCAAACCAAAACAAACAAAAAAACAAA